CCCCCCCCCCCCCCCGCTCGCCCGTGCCGGGCCCTCGAGTGCTGACACATGCCTTGCCTTCTTTTGCGTGCCCCTGCTCGTGGCAGTTTCCAATGACCGCCTGGTGAAGTTCTCACACGATCTGGAGGGCGCCCTGGCCAACGAGTTCCAGCCTCTGTCCGATGCCTACAAGTCCCGGATGCGGGCTCTGGCCCTGGATCTTGGCGATGCCAACAACGAGCAGCTCCGTAACCGGATTTGGAATGACCCTTATTGCACCCCGGCCTACCTCGTTACGGCCAAGGCTCAGGCATGTCATTTCTCTCTCTCTCTCTCTCTCTCTCTTCCTCTGTCCATCTTTTTCTTTCCTTTTTTTCTGCCTCTCTGCCTCTCTCGCCCTCCCCTCCTCCGCTCCTGTCCAGTTTGCAGGCCTGGCTGACAGTTACAAATGCATCTCCCTCCCCCTTCCTCCCCGTCTCATTGTGTTTGGCCTCGCCTCCTTCCGGTCGCAGGACCTCGCCAGCGACTCGATGAAGGAGCAGCGCAAGCTCCGCCTCGAGAAGACCCGCAACGAACTCCACGAGGCCAAGGGCATTGACATGGAGTCGGACGACTTCCTGTGCCCCCGGTGCGGTAAGAAGCGCGTGCGCTACTCGCAGCAGCAGACCCGCTCGGCCGATGAGCCGATGACCACCTTCATTACCTGTCTCGAGTGCGGTCACAAGTGGAAGGAGGTACATTTCTCTCCCTCCCTCTCTCTCTCTCTCTCTCTCTCTCTTTGTACCTCCCCCTCCCCCCAGGATTCGGACTCTTGTTTTCCTTCTCTAATCACCCTGCTGCACCTGCCGCTCCGCCCTCTGGCCACCAGTGATGCGCCGATACGTTGGTTCCCCTGCAATTTGCCGCTGCTTTTGCTTATGGTCTCCTCCCCCGGGCATGGCGTCCCCCCGCCCGCCCCTTCTGTCCCCCCGCCTCCATGCTTCGGTTCACAATATACCCCTCTCCCTTCCCCTCCTTGGCATGGAAAAGGTCCCCCGCATTGTTTGGCCAGAGTGAGGGGAGATGTCTCTCGGCGGTTCCGCGTCAGCCCTGTTGCGAGAGGCGCACATGTGGGCACGCACACATGTCGACCGATGTCTGTGCGCGTGCGCGAGGATAGCTGTATGTGCACCTGCATGTGTATTGGTGTGGGTGACCGCCGGCACCGGAGGAGGGTGCTCTATTCGCCAGATGGCTGATTGGGGTCCGGCATTCCCGGGCTGGCAAACCGAATGGGCACGTCGCGACGGCGCTTCCCGGCCCCCAGGGCGCCTTCCTGCGAGCCAGGCCCTGGGCGCTTGCGCGAGTGTGTCCCCCACCCATGGCCGCCGGGCTCGGCCGCACCGAGTGGCGCGCCGTCGGCGTCCGCCGCCTCGCCGCCGCCCTCGCTCTCCTGCTCTTGCCCCAGGTTGCCGGGGATTTCGGACCCGGCCAGTGGCTGGTCAGCCGGCTCGCCATCTTCGGCCAGGGCGCGTCCGTGCTCATCGCGCGGGACCCATGTCCCATGCGATGCGCAAAACATGCGCACCATGCGGGTGCACAAGCGGGGAGGCTTCGTGGCATCGAGTCGGCCTCCGCGCAGCGGCGCCCCACACCGGCGCAATGGGACATCCTCACGCGAGTCGGTGACCAGCGATCGGCGGAACTCCAGCAGGGCCGGCGTGACATGGATTTCGGCCTTCTCGCGGACCCAAAATGTCTCAATGGCCGTGTCTTTACCAGGGACAGGGGAACACAGTCGAGAGGCCCCGGGTCAGTGGCCGCCCGAGAGCACCTGGCAGGGGAGGGGCCGGGGCACATGGTCCGGGTGAAAGTGCACGCACCAAAGGTTTGCAACAGGTCGGCGACGTCGCGCTCGTTGATTTTGGCCTCAGCAGACTGGACCCCATCGGCCAGCCCTTCCGTGGGGGCTTTGTTGTGCATGTGCCGAGCGGTGGGCCTCTCGCCGGTCGAGCGGCCGGGCACCCGCGGCGGGAGAACCTGCCGGCAGGCGTGCAGGCCCCGGAGCAAGGCTCGGGCAAAACCCCGGAGCAGGGCCAGCAAGCCGCCTCCACTCGATCTCCCCGGCTCGGGGATGCTCAGCGTCGCCAGGGAAAAGGGGTACTCCGGGTCCGGCCGCCAGGTGAATCCCCCAGGCACCGGGGGCAGGTGCGTCAATTGGTCGCGAGTGTCCGCCGGCAGGGGGAGAGACCCCAGGCGCAAGTGGCACAGGCATTCCGAGCCGTCCAGCGGGGGCGGCAGCGAATGGGGTGAAAAGGTGGCCGGGCTCAAGGGCCCAGCGGCCTGGGCCAAGAGCGCAGCCGTGTGGCCGCCATCCGCCGGGCAGGCACACAAGTCGCCCAGCCACACCAGCACCGTGGTCAGGCCCGCGGCCAGGGACACAATTTCCGATCCCAAGGCCACGGTCGATGGAGTGGGGATGTCCGGGAAGAGGGCCCCCGGCGTGGGGGCCGCGCTGGCCCCCGGCGAGGAGTCCGGGTTTTCCGGCAAGGGCGCCGGCACATCGGGACACGGCTCGGCGCCCGGGCTGGAGGTTGGTCCGTCGTCGGGCTCCAGGAAAGGCAACTCCGCGTCGGCCAGGAAGTCCGGGAATTCAAAGGGAAGCTCCGTGGACCCGGGCTCGGCCGTCGGCGATGGAGCATCCACATCGTCAAAGTCGTCTTCCTCCTCTGGGTCTTCCGGGCGGGGCTGCTGCTCGGGCTGCGCGGCGGCAGGCAAGAGGCCCCGCGCGGCGGCATACGCCCGGAGCTGGTCCCGCCCGGAGGGAGCACGAAGTTGCTCCCGCGTCACGCGCAGCAGCAGCCGCTCGGCGTACCGCAGCGAAGTGTCGGCCTTCGGCAAGCGGGACGCCGCATTCTCCACGACCGCGCAGTAGGTGGCCAGCTGGCAGTCGGGGGACCGGGCACATGGGGCACGGCCGGCGCATGTCAGCGGATGAGCAAGCACAAAGGGGAGAGCACGGGCAGAAGACCCACCCGGGAGGCATCCGGCCCCGGCAGAGGGCGAGTCGTACCAGAGTCGTGTCGGTCCCGGCGGCCGGGGCCCCGACAAGCAGGTCCCGCCACAGGGCAATGGCCGGATGAGCGAGGGTATGCTCGCGGGCCAGGTTGAATCGCAGGGCGTGGACGCCCTGCGGAAGGACCGCCGTGCCGGCAGTCCCGGGCTGGATGTCGCCCCGGACCGTGCCCCACGGGCTGGAGCACCAGCCAGCCATGATGGCCAGCAGGTCCCCGGCAATGGGCTCCACCAGGGTAGCCACCGAGTCCGCGGCAAGGGGGGCCTGGCGTCGAGCGCGCCGGGCTCCGGGGCCGCGGGTCCGGCGGAGATGCGCGCGCAGTCGCCGCAGCGATCCGGCCAGCAGATCGTCCACCAGCTGGTGCAGCTGTCCGGCCAGGTGGTCCCGAGCCGAGGCACTGCGCAGGATTAGGTAGTCCAGCGCCCGGAGGGCCCGGCGCCGGTCCGGCACCCAGAACTCGGTTGTGTCCTCGGCGGCCTCCAGGGCTTCGGTCAGGAAGTCCTGCAAATGCCCCGGCAGGGAGAATGTGCCACTCGTCGGGGGAGCACGGGCCTGGCGGCCTGGCGGGGAGGCGGGGCCCGAGCCGGAGACGTGCCGCCGGGCGGCCGGCCGGCCCGGTCGCCCGGGTGGTGGCTGCTGCCCGGCCCCGGGAAGGGCGCTCCCTCGGAGGAAGCGAAGGAGCTCCTGGCAGAAGACCCCCCCGAAGGACTCGTCCATGCGACACTGGCGCCGAACCGCGGCCAGTGTCTCGTTCAGGTCCGGGTCCGTCTGCGGCGAGAGGAAGTCCGTGAGCTGGCCGCTGGGCCCCGGCACGCCGGGAGCGGGAGCCACCAGCAGTGGGGAATCCCCGGGCAGGCGATCCGGCGAGTAGGGCGAGTACTCCGGCTGGAAGGCCACTATGTCAGCGGCTCGGGGCCCGGGAGTGCCGCGCGGCAGACGCACCAGGCGCCCGGTCAGTCGTGCGCATAGATCTGCGGCCAGCAGGGCCCGAGGGTCCGGGCCATCGGCCGGCTCGGGTCCGCTCGTCAGCGGCAGGTGGTCGGCCGGGTTCATGAATGCGCCGCCGAGGGACGGCCGGCCAGGCAGGGGACCAAGTGGGCGCGGCCCGGTGGGAGCCGGTCCGGCACCGGGGCAAAGGAAGGACAGCGGAGGGCCGAGAGGGGAGGGGGAGGCAGGGGCAAAGGAGAGAGAGGGAGGGAGGGAAACTGGATCGAGCATGCTGTGGAGTCCTTCTCCTCCCCCACCCCCCCCGGGGGAGGGGGATCGGACGGAGGGGCCCCTTGGCGATCTACCTTTTTCAGGCCGGGTATGTGTCCCCCCCCCCCCTGGGGGGCACCGGCGGGTCCGGGAGCCGGGGCGGCCCCGCCACCGCGCTGGTCGGCGATCGTGTTCCCACACACCCAGCAGCAGGTGGCGTCACCCGGCGGGATGCCCCCCGGTCGCGGCCAGCCATGTGATCCATATGGCCACCAACGCTTGGGTGAATGTCCTAGTTCGCGGTTCTCCAGGCTACGGTCCTCCCAGCCACATGCCCGATGCTCCGGCATCGTCGTCGAGGGCAGATTCTCCCTCTTGAAGACAAAGCCACACGCACACGTTACTGCCTACTCACGCGCTGCCGAATCCTGTCCGGGATCACGTCAATGTGGGTCACGCGACCACCGCCGCGGCCAAGTACCACTCCTTGCCCCCATGTGTGTGGGTGACTGCGTTGGCGGCTGCGGCGGCTGCGGCGGCGGCGGCGGCGTGCATGGCCAACAATCTGCCCCGGCCGCGGGGTAGGATGGGAACACGCGTTTTCCTGCCTGCCTGCCTTCCCTCGGTGTGGGACTGGGCGGGGCCGGCGGTGGCTGGCCGTGTCCGCGCCCGCGCCCGGTTGACCTGGGGCTGAATGACCCCCCCTCTCTTCCCGGAGCCCGGGCAGCCGTGTTCGTGTTCGTGCCTGTGACGCAGGCGGGACAGGCGGGGCCAGCCGACCGGGGGCCCTTACCACACGGCATCCCGATTCCGGAGGAGAGATCGTGGCATGTGGACCAGGAAAAAAAACAAAGAAAAAACACTGTGTGCGCTTGGGCGGGCCGCCGCGCCCGGGCATCAGCATCCCCCTGTCCTGCCCTGTCCTGTTCTGATTGTCGCCATCCGCCTGTGGCTCGTTCCATTCACGCCTCTGCGCATCTCCTTCCCAAACACCCCCTCTCCTCCTCCCC